ACCTGTATCTGTAGCCTATCTTCAAGCGTGACCACGTTCTCCCATAACTTGGTGACGTCCACAAACTTGGCCAGTGAGCTCTTCACCCTGACATCCAAATTGTTAACTTCTTTCACTCCCAAAGCAAATAAAGGGGAAATAAGCAAATTCTTTGATAATGTAAATTACCAAAGCTCCAATTACTTCAATAGAGCATCAGCAACAGAAAAGGCAAGGCTCAAGATGTTTGCAGCGGCACTACTCTGTGAGAGGAAACTTGTTATAGCTATAATGCACTTGCACATACCAACTGCTGAGCCTGCTATTAGCTTCAGCTAATTGACATATTATCTTCCATCTTGAAATGATGTGCTGCAGTATCTCAGACTAACGCTGACTCATTATTGCCCTCATATATGTTGAATATACTCAAGGAGTTTGAAAGACTCACCTGCCAGTTACTGGGACAAAGACAAAAGAAGGCATCCAGAAGATTTAGACAGGTTCCAGAATTCTGACAGGGGTTGCTACTACAAGCTTTTCTCTGGACAGCCTATAACAAGGACAGCAAATGATAAATCAGTTTCCTAGCTCCACGCAGCTTTGCTAGCTTGTTTTTTGAAAACTAGTGCATTTGTTTTCACACTTTCTGCACTATATTACTAATCATGTAATAGTATGTATGTGATTGGGCAATTCTCAATTACCTGTATTCATCAAGCGCCCTTTTTTTTTTTTAGTACTGATGAATATTCATTTATTTTTCATTTCTTACATGAGTGACAACTGTATTTTTGTCCCTAGGACTTCATCAGAAATTGATTAGCTGAAATTAAATGTTTTAATATAACAAAACTTGTTGCCCAATTTGAAGACCCAAGTTTTGGAATGGACAGAGCAGTAGAGGGACTGATTCTTTTCCTGATATCTAGTTGCTATTTGTATTTCTATAATTCTATTTTGGTTAAAGAGGAAAGCTTATTTTTTAGAAAAGGCATTTCACATCAGCTACAAAATGCAGCTACTCCATGTGTGTCATTTTTCTATTGGAAAGGCTATAATGAGATGAATGAATCCATCTCATTATATTAAACCTTGCAGTCCTCTTGGTTTTTTTTTTTTTAAAACAAAACTGTTGAATTCCTGTTACAATTTCTCACCTGCTCCAAGCTTTGAAGTCTGCCCTCAAGATTCATAATCTGTAACAAAAATACAAATATTAGTGTGCCTGGGATTAGTGTGATTGCATTTGTACATGCCTTGGCCTGACCAGGTGTATCTACACAGTTGCTAGACTGTGGAGTAGACTAATTAGCTCCATAGTAAAGTGTCACCATCTACACATGAGCCTGTATTAGGGCACAGTAAACTGACTCCTCCGGTAAGGTAGTACTTAACGGGGACATTACTATCTTACGTCAGAGTAATTTACTGAACTGAAATTCATGTGTAGACATTGACCGCAGGCATAAATTATTCCCAGAAAGCCCAGCCAGCCAGAACTCTTCTCTACTTCAGCTCAAATTGTTGCTGTCCTGGGTGCACATGTAGATGCTGTACCTGGGAGTAGTTTACTGCAGCTCAAACTGCTCTGGAGTTCTTGCTTCACATTAATTTCACATGTCGATGAACCCCCTGAGTGCCTTTTTCAGCCAGGCACAAACTATTAGATTAAAGTAGAAATGAAATATGAAAAGAAAATAACTAATGGATTTACAATGAGGTCTAAGTTCTCCAAGATACATTCTGTTGGCAGTACCTAAATTGTATAGGCTGTTCTGGAAATAATAACAACCTAAATATGATTTATACATTTGGTGACAAAACTAACATCCTGATCCTATAAAGATTTATGCATATACCTTTATGCACCTTATCTTTAAGCCACTGAACGTGCACTAAACATGCACAAATCTTTGTGGGACTAGAATCTAAGAAAGGAGTTAACTGTCTACAGTTATATACAGAACAACACCATTTTAATAAACTCTGTTTATAACAATCCCAAGGCCAGGAATTAATTAGTATGATTCAGCAAATGGACACTTTTATAGCAAACACCCTTTTTCAATGGACTTTTTTCCCATTCCCATAGAGATTTGTTATAATGAGGTTGTATTATAAAAGGCAGGAACAGAAAAAAAGGCAAAGATGTTCACTACAAGACAGCAAGCTACAACTATAAAAAATGAATGCAATTGAATAAAGGGGTATGAGGAATAAACAGTTTCCCTGTCGTGAAGTCTCTTGCACTGTGGAATATTTTCCTAAAGGAAATTATGGAAATTTCATAACCTAAGTCATTTACAGCTGACCTGAACAAAGGATTCTATAGCTCAATGCACAGAAAACACCTGCATTTGCAGAGGATGGGGTGCATCTCTAGTGTTTTGCATCTTTAGTTATGGACTCCACAGATGAAACACTTTATCTATGCAGCACTTTATCATTAACAGAAGGTTTCGGTCCTACAATTCTTGAATTCAATGGGATTTTGCTTTGGTAGAAACTGCTGAATTAAGTCCACATAGATAGTAACAAATTAGGGGATTAGGAAAGGAATCACAATACACAGAGCTTTAATCACCACCTACTGAAATCAGTCAGAATCATTCCATTGGCTTCACAGATACTACACCAATTACTTTGGTTTTAGAAAAGGACTATGGTCCTGAGCCTAAGGAGTTCACAGTAGAAGGCTGTACCTCAAAATATTCAGTCAAAGAAATAAAGGCAAATATGTTGATTTGAAGAACTTAATTATAATGTCATATGACCTGAGACTTACCTTGGAATTCATCAGAATGACCTGGCTGGATACATTTTGAGGGATACCAGCACTTCTTTTTAATTCTAGTATCTCGTCTTTATTTTTTCTGATCTAAATTAAAAGAAAAAAAAATAGTTCTAGGCTATTAAAAACAACTCAAAACCAGCTTTGACTTTTCAAATGTTTGAGAGAGGTTTGATTCATACATTAATTTACCATAATAAAAGTCCAATATGATAGTGATGAGTTATATAGTATACACAATGGTATCTTTGAATTATTTTGTAACTACACAATTACTTTACAGGTCTTTAAAGATTTATAATTATAACAATGAAAATAATAGTCAGAAAACCTATTACCTTACTTCACAGAGTTGCCAAGGTAAATTTTGCTACTGTATCAATTTTAATTAAATTCTTAATGTGCAAGAATAAAGCTGAGTATTTCTCAAGACATAAAGTAAATATACTACCTGACTAAAAAGTTCTGCAAGGTCATCTTCATTAATTTTTATTTTCCCCTGTGATCCAGTTCGAAACTCAATATTTTTAGCAGACCCAGTATGGAACACTAAATTACCCCTCTCTGAGGACATGCGAGGCCTGTTGTATCGAAGAAAAGACAGCATTTAGCTACACATCTATCAAAGATTATGTGAAAGATTAAATGTATTTAAGTCACTCTATTACCATTTCTTGTATTTAAGTTCCACTATGTGAACAAATCTTTTTTGATACCTGTAATGGTACTTACTGTTCATTAAAAACAGTCCTTATGTGCCTCTTTTTTTCATACTGGTTCGATTCACAGCTTAATCCAGAAAGTACAACCAAAAGCAAAGGAAAAGGAGCTGGCCAAAGCATTGCTCACTGCCAATTTCCATGGGTTGAGCAGCAAGTTAAAATGAAACAGCCAAGACTGAACTCTGGTTTTGAGAGCCTCAGTGCACTTTGCTCTTGCAAGATTCACTGCCCAAAGGGTGCCCATTATGGTTTTCTGCCCTAGAATAGATAATCTTTAACTGAATTGATTTCCCTAATTACTGAAAATGTGCAAGTGATCTAAACCTTAAACAAAAACCTTTCTCTTTTTCCATTCTTCAGGTACTGAGTGGTTAAAAAAGTGGAATTAGCATGATTAAATCATTACCTCTTTGACCTTTGTTATAATGAAACATTACACTGTGCTAAAATATCTTGAAGTAGGCAGTGGATTTTGCAAAGAAACACCTTGCCATGAATTCAAGTTTCACTGCAAGGATTTTAGCGAAATGTAAAGATCTGAGCTATCAAGAGGAGACCCAGACAGTTACAAGGAAAATGGCATATAACGGTTACACTAGCTGCCAAAAGACTGTTTGCATTGAAGTAGAGGTCTCTAACCATTCCTAAAATAATTCCTTGAATAAATAACACAAGTGATCTAACAGCACTACAAAACATCAGGAAAACAAATCACAACCAAAAATGGTTATTTTGATGCATGACTGAATCACCACAAGACAACTAGAAGATCTCTGTGCCCCCATCCTCTCTTCCTCCCATCCCAGACCTAAGTGCCTATTCTGCCCCAACACAAGGGTCTCAGTGTGTTCACTCTGATACACACTTTGTGCCCATTCCTTCCATACACCTGGTCCTTCCCATTCTGTGTGCTCCCCCTTTTCCCTCATGGCTCTATGGACCCCTATTCTTCTTTTGCCTATGGCTCTTTTTCCCCCATGCTCAAGGTTGTGACACCTCTAGGCTCTCTTTCACCCAGTCTTTCAGTGTGTGAGATGCAGCTCACACACTAAGCAGCACTTAAAAATCTCATTGCATCCAGAGATGTCTTCAAAACAGGTATAGAACTTGGCTAACTAACTTTTTATTGCTGCTCTATCACATGCATAGATCCTTAGAACAAATGGTCTAATACTCTAGAAGCAATATTTTCTATCTTTTTTATTCTAATTGCTTTGTTTTGATTTTCTGCATATATGTGTGTGTGTGTGTGTGTGTGTGTGTGTGTGTGTGTGTGTGTGTGTGTGTGTGTGTGTGTGTGTGTGTGTGTGTGTGTGTGTGTGTGTGTGTGTGTGTGTGTGTATAAATATTTTAAACTAAAACCCTGAGTATAATTTATATTGTTTATAAACCACAGTAAGGCCTAAAATATCTGGATTTCTTCCTCAGGTTTAGCAAAGTCACTGAATGAAAATCAGGCTTAATATCAGTAGACATTACTCTCAAAAGTGGCTCTAAAATAGCGTGACAGGGATCCATGTACATTCATCTTTCCCACAGTAGATAAACTTGTTTTGTAGATGAAAATACAGGATCAGATCCCCAGCTGGTGTAAATTGCCATACCTCCATTACTCAGGCTTTGGTTTCTCTTCATTTTGCCCTAAAAACTTGCCCTAGAATAGGAAAGTCAGAGCAGTTTCTACTGCTTTAGTTTATTTGCTGATAACTAAAGATTCTGCAGGCCAAACTTTACCTGCAGTGTAATCCTTTCAGAGAATGTCCATGTGTATCTGAAACTGGGAAATGTTTCAGTTTTTTTATTGGTGCTTGATCCTATTTCTTTTCCTGTTGTTTTTTCTGGTTCTTGTAGACTGGCTATGAAGGAGCTATTGGTCAAATGAGCAAATGATGTTCATAGCAGCCTGGTTGAATGAACATGTACCATAAAGACTTTCCTTCACCAGGTCTGCCACATGTTGATACCCCTCAGCCTGGACTTTCAGTATAGCCCGAACAAATTTTGACATTTATCCAAAACTGTGAGTCCTTGTGCACTGACCCTCCCCTAACAATTCAGTCAAACCCAAGAAGTAGCCAAGAAGATAAGTGAAAAGCAGTACTCTTTCATTCTTCATCCTCTCATAGTCTCATCCTCTCATAGATGGATGAACTGGAGGAAAGGCGAATTTGACTATGGAGTATGTATATAATGGAAAGGTCTTCTGGGTATTCTAGTCCAAATCCTTGCATAGAGGATTTCTCTCTTCAATGGATCATCAGGATCTTAGCTATTAGGGGTTTGCAAAATAGGCCATATTCAATTCAGATTTGGCACAAATTGGGGACAGTGATTTGATCACTGTCCCCGATTTGATTCGGCTGAACCTGAATCTGAAGATTCGATGCTGATTCGGTGAATCAGCAATTCAGCCATAGACACTGCTTTACAAGTTTTTTTCTATATACCTCGAGGTACCAGGTGTGGCTCGTGAACGCTGCGATGCTGGGGTGGATGAAGTATGCTTCTCATCCACTTCCGGGTGTGATACTGAATGCGCTGGCGATCCCACCCCCCACCCCACTGCTATGGGATGCTCCATCTGCCCCACCATCTCAGCATTCACGAGCCGCAATGTACCTTGAGGCACATAGAAAAAACATTTAAAGCTGTGTGTATGTCTGAATCGCCAAATCTTTCCAAATCTCTCCAAATTGATTTGGAGGGTTCTGATTTCATTCGAAGAGATTAAAGGGTCTCCTGATTTAAGTCATATTCAGAGTTTCAGCCACCAAATCAGGTCAAATCTCCGCCGAATCGAATCAGGGACTGAAGCATTGCATGGCCCGATTAGCTATCCTACCTCTATACCTCTAGTAAATGCATGTCAGATCTGCGAACTTTGGAAAACTATAAACATGTTGGGGGGAGAAGAATAAGCCCACAGCTTTAATTTTATTGAAATGCATTTAACTGAGAAATTTTTTTTGGAGGGACAAGGTGGAAAAACCGTAAATAGCTGGCTTAGGAACAGGGACTATCCTTTATAAATAGGGACGGTTGGCATGTGTACTTCCTCTCTGAGCAGATCATTCCATTACCTCATTGGCATTATAGCTGAAAAAATCTCTCTAAAGAGAATAGATTGTTCAGGGACTTGGCAAAAGGACACGCTGCATTTTGCCTCTTGGACCCAGGCTGGATTAGTAGTGCCTGACATTTACCACCATTTTGTATGATGCCACAGTGGACTATGTGAAATGAAATGGCAGACTTAATCTACACCCCTGTAGGTGTGTATCTACTACAAAAAGCTGCTATCATACTCAGCACATATTTGGACACAGGAAGAGACCAAAAATTCAATCTGCACTGAGACTGAACTACACCATTACCTAGAAAGATGATCCTGCTACATCAGAATGGATACCTGTAAGGTAAGTGTGCAGCACTACTATACCTATTTAGTGGGTAAATTGAGGCCATCTCTTTACATAGATGTCAATCATGATCCTTTGCATAGAATTAAATTATTTTTAATGAAAAAATGATAAAACAGTCCTGATTGTTCTTTATTTACAATCTATAATTTTTTTTGGGGGGGGGAGGGCCAGGGGAAGGGGGGGAAAATAATCTCTCTTTCTCTTTTTGATGTTATAACTTGACAGTTTGTAAACAATTATAGCTCTATATACACATTCATTTTCTCTGGCCTCCTGATAGCACTCACCCTTTCTAATCTCATCTTCTCTTCCCTCAGTTCCCTCTAGGGAATCACTTTCCCTAAAAAGTCATCCTTTGATACAAGGATGATAGTCTTCCAGTAGATAGTCATCAGTAAGTCTGGAGATTACTGGAGGGGCCAATCTGAGATCAAATGTAGACATGGCATTCAGTTCCAGGAGGAAGGAGTGGATCTTTGTGCTGCCAGGTCACAGCTCTTCCCTTTGTCTCTCTCACCTATTCACCTGCATAATGAGGCACATTTGTTCAAAATGACCATTCCCTTTTTGTATTTCATGGTGCCATTGGGGACAATGCAGTGCTAAAGTCTCTCAGGTATCAATGTTAATATTGCATTAAGCAGTATAGTAACTTTTAAAAGTGACCATATATTAGTCAGATGAAGAGGAATTATTATGAACATGGTGTCATGTGCAAATCACTCATTTCAGTGAACTAAAGCCAAGAGTAGAAACCCAGAGCTACTTCAAACTGTTGGTACTCATTCTTTTCCTGGTCTCATTTTACAAAAGAAAAAAAAAGTTTGAGACTCTCCTGATATAAGCATGAAAAAGGACTGTAATCATGACACCACTGTTGCAGTTGGTGCATCCCATGATGTAGTAATTATTTTGGAACCCCAAAGCTTCAAGCAAACATTTAACAAAACCTGTATGAATGACATATTTGGGTTGTGGAACAGGCAGCTGCTGCCAGCTTGTTCCATCTATAAGCTGCCCTTTCCTACAATAGGCCCATCATTCTCTTTTCCTATTTTAACGTCTCTATGGTATTTTGTTTTTAAAAGAATAACAATGCATTTGATTTTATTTACTTAACTAATATCTCAGGTAGGCTAAAGGAATTTTCAAAATGGTTCACTAAAAATTCTAAGATTCCTTTATGCTTTCCCTTAGGATTACCTTGGGCATGCATAATCTATTGCTGCTGATTTAGTTATTCAGGGTGAAATCCTAGACCTTTGGCCTCAGTTTGTCCAGGTATTCTTTCATCTGCACTTTAGGGATTATTTGCTCTGGTTCACCCAAGTTATATATATACTCCTAGTTTTCTGACACTTTTTTTTCTCTTTTTCCTTTTTGGAAGTCCATTGCTAATTAGTTCACTCCTAATTCATCTGTAGATATATTTATCTCCTGGTTTCTCTTTCAACTGAATAGCTATGTAACTCACCCTTTTTTCCATTTTAGCCAAGAGTTACATTTTACTTCCATCCCCCCCACATCCAATTTGCCATGTTGCATATATTTATAAATCCCTATTTTTACTTCTTATTTCCATTCCTTCTTTAATTCCCTTTTTCTTGTTTATGGCTAACCCTCTTTTCAGTCACATTAGTTTTATTTCCTTTGTTTCATCATTCCTGTTCTTAACCACATTGTAACTGTTTTCTCATATATATATCTCTCTTGTTCTTAGATTCGCTTTTTTATATACTTCTCCAAT